TTTTTCTTACCTCAAGCGATCCTCCCACCTCGGCCTCCCAGAGTGCTAGGATTACAGGCGAGAGCCACCGCGCCCAGCCTGCTTTACTTTTATGACATTTTCTGCTGTATTTAAGTTTCTCATTTTTGTGTAGCTATAACTTTGTGATTTCTTCCTTACCTAAAATCAGACTAGGCTGGGGCACAGTGGCTCAGGTCTACAATCCCAGCACTCTGGGAGGGAAAGGTGGGAGGATCGCTTGAGTCCAGGAGTTCGAGACCAGCCTGAGCGAGAGTGAGACACAGTCTGTACGAAAAATACAAAAATTAGCCTGGTATGGCGGTGGCGCCCGTAGTCCCAGCTACTTGGGAGGCTGAGGCAGGACGATCGTTTGAGCCCAGGAGTTTGAGGCTGCAGTAAGCTACGATGATACGCTGATGCCACTGCACTCTAGCTTGGGTAACTGAGTGAGACTGTCTCAAAAAAAAAAAAAGAAAAAAAAAAGAGCCTAACTATTTGCCATTATTTTCTTCTAGTTGTTTTATGGTTATTCTTTTTACCTTTAATCTTCCACCTTTCTGGAATGTACTCTGCTATACTTATGTCAAGCTACTTTATTTCCAAATACGCTGCTTCTCAGCACAATTTGAGTCACCATCTTTCTCAGACCCTAAATTCTTTTATTTCTAAAGGCCTCCCAGTGTGGCGCTGTTGGTCCTTCCCTAGGGTGGTCTGTAGAGGTAACGCACGTCTAGACAGAACATGGACCTAAGTTTTGGGCACCTTGGTTCTGAAACCTGTCCGGGACGTGAGGACAACCAAGACAAACCTGGGAGAGAGAACAAAGACGCGGCTACGCGGCCAAAGGTGAGCGTAGCACAAGGCCCTGATGCTTTGGCTGTCTCCGGGTCCTGGAACCCAGGCCAGCAGAAAAGGGGAAAAGTCCTGAAATAAACCGTAAGCCAGGTCAGAATTTAGGGTCTGGAGATGGGACAGGAAGACAGGACAGTGCCCTCCTCAGGTGTGTGATAAAGTCTGTGGTTTTCTTTACGAAAGCTAAGTTATTTCTAGTTGTTCTAAATTTCTATTGCTCCAGGAGTGAACTCTCTCTTTTCCACTTCGATTCAAACACTGATCACTGCCAGCGTTTAAAGGAACTGGCTGGACATGAGCTCCTGTCCGGTCACCTGCCCTGGCCTCCTGGTCATGCCACACACGCTACCTCTCCTGGCGTTCTTTCTCAAAGCAGGTGATGCGACCCCACACCCTTGGTCTCTGCAAACACAAACCTCTGCCTTTTGGACCTCTCGGCATTCCAGAGTCAGCACAGGCAGGGGCCCAGCTCCCCGACAGCGGGACATGCGTGCTCCCAAGTTCTGGGGACCTCTCCTCCTTTCCAAACCACACCAGTCACTCAGTTTCCCCAAAACACTCCCTGCAGACACAGCACCTCGTCATCTCAACACCTCTCCAGGGCCACACCACCCTGGGCCACCCAATTTCTTTATGCCACCTGCCACCCAGCTTCCCTTCACTGCCTGGCACTTAGGGGCCACCAAGACACACCCCTGCCTGGTCACACCTGACCTGGCCCGTGAAGAGTACCCCTTGCCTGCTCCAGGCCTCGACCACTCCTACAACACTGGGCTTAAGCCACACACTCGGGTGTGTCCCTAATCGTGTTCTGTAACCAGAGGCCTTTCTCTGCAAGCACACAGCCCCACCCCAGTCAGGGCTCCTGGCCTCTCTGTGACATCTCGCCCCATCTATGAACAGCCCCCGGCCTTCAGGCTCTAGCAGGGCCCAGGCCACTGCCTGCCTTGGTGCCTCAGC